TGGGGTGGGGGTGGAGCGGGGATGGGGTGGGGTGAGGGAAGGAGTGGAGTGGGGCATGGTCTGGGGCACGAGGACCCCACAGCACATCAGAAAGTCAGCGCCTCTGGGGGAAGAGAATAAATGGCTGTGTAGTCCAAGGATTAGGACACCCACTCAGGAGGTGGGAGACTCATGGTCCAGTCCCCCTGCTCCAGTGAATTTTTATTTATCCACAGTGGAACAGCTCCAACAGGAGAGACTTAGGGACCCTCTCCCCATCAGACTATCCCATAGCTCAGTGGCTGGCGCACACTCCCGAGAGACCCCTCCTCATATCCCTTCTCCCCCTCAGGCAGAGAGGGAAACTGAACCTGGGTCTCCCACATTCCAGGTGAGTGCTCCACCCACTGGGCTAAAAGTTATAAGGTGGGTGCTGCTCTCACTTCCACTGCTGCCCACAGCTTGAATGGGAGTCAATGTGGAAGGCAACCCCGGAGCACACGTACCAGATCAGGCCCTGCACGTGAGATAGATGGGCAAACGCCTACCTGCCCTGGGTCATGGATTGTGCTGGGACTTAGGTGGGAGCTCGGCATCCTGACACCTCCAGTGAGGCAGCATGGTCTGTGCTCAGAGGCAAAAGCACCTAGGGAATTTTCCCCCTGAAAATGTAGGTGTCTGCAAGGCTTGGCAGGAGTGTTGTGGATCTCCGTGGAACCTCAAACTGGGAGTTAGGTGTCTAATTCTGGGGTCTGGGTGTCTAAGTACCTTTGTGAATCTACCCCGATGTCCACTCCTAGTAATAAACAATAGTGATTTTGAGCAGAGTGAAGGCAAACACCTAGAGCTTAATCCCACCCATTTTCAAAGGCTACACTTGTGTTAGGTCTATTAAAAAAAGCATCTAAAACTGTTTTCCAAAGGGGAACAGGTAAGGGGGGAGGAGGAAGTGTAGGATAGCCACATCTAAGAGTGAGTAACATGATGGAGCTGTGTGTCTGGCTTCATTACACAACCGTTACCTGTATGATTCTTTGGTTTAACTTTCTATTGTGTGGTCAGAAAACAATCTTCATGCAGCCTGAAGTTCTGTCTAATCTGATTAATGACGTCTAAGTATTGCTCTTCTACCTGCAGCTATAACGTGTCTAAATTTTCAAGTGGTTTCTCAGTTCAAACCCTTGATGAGATGTCACTGTTTCCACCACAGGCCTATATCCTAAGTTGGACAGTCTTAGCGTGGGCTTAGCTACCCCTTCACGTCTAATAATTTAACAGAAGATAAAAAGGTGCAAGCCGAACAGGGTTGCAGAGCATTAGATCTTGAGCTGAAGTGAGAAACCCCAGCCACCCATCTCAAAGAGGGACTCAAGGTACAATAACTATTGTACTTAGCATTTCTGTAGTACATTTTTTCAGAGAACTGACTAACTACAATTAAATGTAGTATTTAGTACTAATAAATAATATCCTATCTGGAGCCCTCAGAGGGCTTTAACATAAAAGACCCCTTCAGACCTTCATGCACCTGAAAGCAGCAAGAAAGTGCTCACATTCAATACACTCCCCTCCACATTTACTTAGTTGTTACAAGTGACCTTTAACAGTGTCACTTTCACATCACGCAGAAAAGCCACAGAAATTTCCCTTCAAACTCTACAGAATCAGAGTCTCCCCCTTTCTACTCTCAGTTGTGCTGAGTATGAGGCACATTATTTGCTGCTTTATTGCACCCAGACATTACCATGCACTTCACAGAGATGCTTTTATTAAGTTTTCCAGGGTCCCAGTCAGAGAGGTCAGGCCAGAGTAGCTCTAAATGCTTCTGACTAAGATGCTGCCAGAGCAGAGGGCACCGTTCACCTTGAGAACTTCTGGTTTGAAACAAATTCTGCCTAAGGCACCATACAATAGCACAGCAAGTGATCTCAGATCCTGCAAGAGTTCTCCACACACTTGCTATGACTGGTGAGCAAGCCTATTACCATTATTCCTTAAAGCACTATTGTTCGGTCCTCAGTCCTGCTAAACCCAAGGTGCTCCAACACTGGCTGATTTGAGACAGAAGGATGGAAGGAAGGACAGGCCTACAGTTAAAGCACTCGACTGGAGCTAGGAGATCTGAGTTCCGTTACCACAGATTGTTAAAATGGCCACTCTGTTCAGGTGCCTCAATTTCTGGTTTCCCAGCTTGAGGCACCTTGGTGTGTTTTCCGTAGGTGGGGATCATCCACAGCTGCCACTGACAGTGGTGGGAGCTACAGGGTGCTCAGCGCTCTTGCAAACCAAACCACTTACTTAGCTTCTCAATCTATATAGACACCCAACTTTAGGCTCCTATTTTTGAAAAGCTTGGCCTAGATATAGTCTCAACTCTGATTGTCTTTAGCAGCAGCAGCATCTAGTGGTCAGGCGGTACATTTTACCGACTACAGTATTAAATTATTTCTACAGCACCACAAAATGGGGATAATTCGTATCAAACACACAAAACAGTATAGGAACATATTGTAAGTTGTTTGTTTGCTAGTTTTCCCCTCATGCATTTCCTTCCTGTCCCCCAGACTGAATCCTGTTTTCTATCCATATTTCTAAACACTCTAATCCCTGTGTATTCTTCTTCTTTGGTGTTCAAAATTCATCCCAATTTGCTGTGATCTGGAAAACGTTAGCGTGTCACTTCTCCCCCGTCCCATACTCCTCATGTATTAATGGATGTACTTTCTAGAACTGGTTGAATTTTTTTTTAAAAACACAAAAACGGCTTTGACAAAAACAAAAGTTTCCTGTGGAAATTTGTCAGTTCTTATTGTTTTTGATAAAAAAAATTCATTGCAGTTTTGCAAGTTCTCTCTCTCTCATTGGAAAAGGGGAGAAAAGGACATGACTGTGTTTTCTTATTTAAAGAAATAAACTTTTCAAGTGGAAAAAGGTCAAAAAATGATAGGGGGGGAAAACTGAAGAGAAAATTAGCTGTGAATTTTGTAAAAAGTCCTGAAAGTTTTTGAACAAAGTTTAAAGTTTTTATTTATTCAATAATATTTGCAAAAAAGTTAAAATATTGACCAGCCCTATTACTGTCTATGGGGTAGATATGAAGTCAATGAGTGTCGATTTCTACAGGAGTTGGGTCAGGCCCTATCTTAGGCTAGGTCTATACTACCCGCCTGAATCGGCGGGTAGAAATCGACCTCTCGGGGATCGATTTATCGCGTCCCGTTGGGACGCGACAATCGATCCCCCAATCGGCGCTCTTACTCCACCAGCGGAGGTGGTAGTAAGCGCCGCCGACAGAAAGCGGCAGAAGTCGATTTTGCCGCTGTCCTCACAACGGGGTAAGTCGGCTGCGATACGCCGAATTCAGCTACGCTATTCATGTAGCTGAATTTGCGTATCTTAAATCGACTCCCCCCTGTAGTGTAGATGTACCCTTAGGTTTCTCTGTAGAACTTCCCAGATAAATTAGATTTGCATCCAACGCTCCCTGGTGCTTATATATACATTAATAAAAGCCCTTCAGGCTTCCCTTGGCCCCTTTTGATTATTAACTCATTCTGCTCTTAAATTTTCCCCTAAAATCCATAACAGACTGAACATATTTATGTTTGGTTGCTTCCACCCACCTTTCCTATTCCCAGGATGCAGCCGATCAACACTAAAAGATATAGAAATAAAATTAGAGTAACAGAAGTGGCCACTTTATCTAATATGACCTCCTGCATAACGCAGACTAGAGAACTTGAGACAGTAACTCCTGCATTCACTGCAAATTATTTAGCATGAGGGTCCCTCAAATTACTGTATGGAAAGTGTTTGTTATTCAGTACCCCCAATCCAGCTGCCAAAGGGACCTGGGTGCAAATTCTGCCCCTGGAACTGGCTGCCACAACAGAACAAATGCTATTGGTTGTCTAACAAGTAACACCCGGAGGAAGAGCAATGTTTGTTCAAAGAATTCCCAATCCCTACAACCAGGAAGACATGGTAAACAAAAGAAAATGGTGCTTTTAAAACCGCAACTAGAGATAATACACAAACTGCCACAGCAACATCATTAGTTGCTGGAATTAAAGCCTTGAACAAGCGTGGCTGACGCTGTAGTGGGGATGGGCTCTCTCTGAGCAGCTGCTGCACCCTTCCAGACTCTTCCGTCACCCTCTGTCAGCCCTGCCTGCCTGACCCCCAGTAGGGACGTATGTGGCAGCATATGGCCCCCCGCTGCTGCTCTCTCAGGAACCCTACACCGCACACCCGGCTCACCATCCCAAGTGCCAGCCCCAATCTTGCCTGACGCCATAGCCACAGCCGAGGGCCAATTCCCTTCCCCCTCCCCACTCACCGCTGAGAAAGCTGCACCCCTTGTCTTTACAGTGCCCATACTGCAGGGGTGGCAGCAAAGGATTCCAGGATAGAAACAGGGGAGGAGAAGGTCACCACAGCAGCTTGAATGGGGTTGCAGGTACGAAGGAGGCAGCCAGGAGTTTTGTGTTCTCAGGCAGGTGGGTGGGTTGGGGACAGGGAACCCAGTCACGGGTAGTTCAACGCTGTCACGTTATCAGTCTGTCTGTCTGTTCTGTGACAACTTCCCTCTTCTCTCCAGCCCTGTGGCACCCCGACTAACTGCCAGGTAGTTTCCCCCTTGCCTGGCTCTGCCAGAAGCATCCTCCTTTGCTCCTCCAGGCCCCTGTGAGGTCTTGGACTAAGTAGACAAGGCCTGGGGGGACTGAAGCACAGACTTGCCATGCAGCCACATGGTCACCGTTAAAATATACACCGTAAGTGGGACATAACCACATTGTTAACTGGTGACGTTGCTAAGTAGGTCGGTGTTCGCATGCTCATCAGCTTCCAGTATTTCATCTGGTTAGTCACAGGGCTGCCCTAAGAGTGACTTGGTCCTTGACTGACAGGTTTAAAATTATCCTGCTATTATGTGAGGGGGAACATAACCCCCGCCAGAGGCCGCTGCACAGGCTCCATTGGAAAGCAGCTGGTCATGATTATTTTTTGCACTATGTGCAGATGTTTCACCAAACACTGACTCTTCCAGGTCACCCTCAGTGTCCCCGCTGGCATCGGATGGCTCTGGGGGTCGGCTGGGCTGGGAACATCGTCCTGCTGGGAGCTGTGGTGGTGATGTGCGTGTGGGGTGAGTAACTCAAGGCTAGTTATTCACTTGTGTGTAATGCTGCACCCTGAGATTTCCTCTTCCCCCACGTTTCCACGGAGACTCTTTCTTGTTCCTAGAATCCTGGAAATGTAGGGCTGGCAGGGACCTCGCGGGGTCGTCCAGTCCAGCCCCCTGCACTGAGTCAGGGTTATCGATTCCAACGCATTTGTGAATGAAATCATGGACGCGTCATTGTTCCAAAGCAGAGCAAAATATCACATGAACAATGTGTAGCTAAGAGCTTGATACATGAACCCCTGTGATCCAGCTATGGCAACTCCTCTGTCAAGTGTGCAGGGAAAAGGGAAGGCATCTTACAATGTGCAACGAATGAGATTTTCTGTCTTGTTCTTTCTCTTTCCCTACTCTAAATTTGTCATAGCATGTGCACGTGTTTGTTTTGCACACACACACTCTCAGTCTCAGGTTGCGAACCCGCAATAGTTAACTGTGGTTCACAATCATGCTCTTTCCTTCCTGTCAAAAGGAAATTTTAAGGGCCTGGGGAATGACGGTGCCAAGGAGAGAACCGGCTACGGCTATAATTGCAGCACTGAGCTGAAGGATTTTCCGTTCTGCTTCAAACAGTTTCTATGTGAACCTCCAGCCAGCAACTCAAGTGGTAATTTCTGCTCCTTTGCTCTCAGCTGTTTCCCCATATTTCAGTGACACCTAGTGGTCCCTTGGGGTAACTCTCAGTGTGTACAGTACAAAATGCACTAAGGATCCTACTTGTGTAAAAAGAACGAGGAGTCCAGTGGCACCTTAAAGACTAACAGATTTATTTGGGCATAAGCTTTTGTCCCAAAGGGCTTTACAAACTAATTATAGCGTGAAGCTGGTAGGGAACCTAAATACAGGCATCACTTACACTTTCCAGTGGAAAAATTTCTTCTGACCTTTTAAAGAAGCGTTTGCACCTTATAGTCGCAGCAGACCTTTGAAAATTCAGCACGGGGAGAGTCCTCAGGCTGGAGAAGTGCCTTTTCTTTGTTTCAAGAAATTTCACTTCGGCTCTGCTGAGCTGTGAACTTGGGAACAACCACCATTTCTGCGCTGAGGGGCAAGACTCTACTGTGATTTTATGGACAAGCTGACTGGGTTTATCCCCTCCCAATTCTATCACATTGTCTGTGTAGCTACATTCTTTTCCTGGTCCTTCGGTTTCTTTATGTTTGTGCAATAAAAGTCAATGTTTCGAGAATTAAATACTCAAACTTTGCTATAGCAGAGCCCGCGTTCTGCTGTAATTTCCTTTGTTACAACTAATGGCTTGATCCAGCAAACACTCACTACTACATACAGGGTTTTCTACTCTGAGTAGCACCACTGACTTCAGACCCTACCCTTGAAATGAAAGCTAACTTTGCTGGGGCTTGGAAGCTGCAGGAGAGAAGCTTGCAGGGTCTACTGATGAGCTCAGAGGTGTGGGGGAGGCGGAGGAGTTGGGTGTCACTTGTGTGCAGAGCCCGAACTTCCTGTGGTTTCTCATGAGGAGGGTCAATGCTGCTGCTGGAGGTGAGCCCTGAGCTGCAGAGCCTGAGGGTCAGCTGGCAGCGGGCTCATTTCCCACCCCTGAATATCTGCTGAAAAGAATTCAAACCCAGGACAAGCCTGGCCAATGGAGGACGAAGAGGGGTACATGGTATGTAACCGTCGTCTGAAGATGACAACATCAGACTGGCCGTGTGAATCTGGGACCCAAAGTAAGTGACTTACTATCTCCCTGCGGTGTCCATTACTGACTGTGCCTTTACATGTTACCTGGCAGGGACGGGATGAGTGAAAATGCCTCGTTTGTGTGGAAATTCTGGATGTGCCATTGTGATACTCTGGTAACGGCGCAGATAACTGGAGAAGGTGGATAGAGATGACGTAGTGAGTGTGGGAGAATGTGGGGGAGGAGAGAGCTGGTACAGAAAGGGTGGGCTCTGCCTTCACTAGAGCGGGACCAGACTCTTGGCCCATGCAATAAATAGGATTTGGGGTGAGTATTTAAGATAGGAGCTGGGGAAAAGCTAACAGGTGCTGAGGAGCCTGCTAATGTCAGACATGTTAGTAATACCAAGATGCAGGATCCAGTAAAGGATAAGGCATAAATTACCCTGTCCATCCTCCTGTTCAGCTGGACGACTGGACAGGAGGATGGGCAGGGTAAGATCACAAAAGTAAATTCTGCAAAAGGGCATCAAAGGTGTTAAATAAACATAGGCAGATGATCAAAAATGTGTGTATCTACAAATGCGAGAAGTGTGAAAGCAAGAAACAAGTGAATTGGAATGGACACTGATAGAAGACCTGATATAGTAGGTCATAGAATTCCCCAAATCAATGGGTCACTGTAGCACTTGACTGTGAATTTACAGGAAGGACAGATTAGATTTGGGAGTCGCATTGTGCCTGTATAATCTGCCTGGCTACAAATCCCAAGTGCTCAGAATACAGATACACTAGTACGCACACTACCGGACCAGTTGACGAGGTCCCTCACAAGAAATCAGTAAGGAAAATAAGGACTTGTCTACATGGGTAAACTGACCAGGACAGTGATTTTAAAAGTGATTTTATTCCAGAATAATAAAGTGCACCTCTTTGAAAGTGCACTAATTATTCTGGGATAAAGAGATTTTTCATCAGAATAGAGTGTCCACCTGGAGAGCTATTTGGGAATAACCATCCGGTCAATTTCCCTGTGTAGACAAGCCCTAAGTATTGGTGGGGTGACTGGTAAAGTACTAGCCTGGCACAGAAACTGGCTAAGAGACAGGAAACCAGTAGTAGGATTTAATGGCCAGTTTCATCATGACAAAAGGTTAGCAGTGAGCTGCCACAAGGCTGGAATTACTCCGTCCAGCTCCAGTGTAGACGTATCCTTAGACCTTGAACAGGGTTTAACGGTGTGATGTCAGATCACGTCCGTTGGCTCAGTCCAACTAACACCTTCTAAAACTCGAGTCCAGACAAGGCAAAGGGCAGCACATGCTCTATAAATGAATCAAGTGAAAGCTAGGGCAGGAGCCTCATCTTTAATCTGACCAGTGTAGAGTGTACGTGTTTATGCTGGACTTCCAGAGTGTGTTAGCTAGCGCCTGGTGCCGCCCCTTTAGATCCCAGACAAGGCCTGGGGGGACTGAAGCACAGACTTGCCATGCAGCCACATGGTCACCGTTAAAATATACACCGTAAGTGGAACATAACCACATTGTTAACTGGTGACGTTGCTAAGTAGGTCGGTGTTCGCATGCTCATCAGCTTCCAGTATTTCATCTGGTTAGTCACAGGGCTGCCCTAAGAGTGACTTGGTCCTTGACTGACAGGTTTTAAATTATCCTGCTATTATGTGAGGGGGAACATAACCCCCGCCAGAGGCCGCTGCACAGGCTCCATTGGAAAGCAGCTGGTCATGATTATTTCTTGCACTATGTGCAGATGTTTCACCAAACACTGACTCTTCCAGGTCACCCTCAGTGTCCCCGCTGGCATCGGATGGCTCTGGGGGTCGGCTGGGCTGGGAACATCGTCCTGCTGGGAGCTGTGGTAGCGATGGGCGTGTGGGGTGAGTCACTCAAGGCTAGTTATTCACTTGTGTGTAACGTTGCACCCCGAGATTTCCTCTTCCCCCACGTTTCCACGGAGACTCTTTCTTGTTCCTAGAATCCTGGAAATGTAGGGCTGGCAGGGACCTCGCGGGGTCGTCTAGTCCAGCCCCCTGCACTGAGTCAGGGTTATCGATTCCAACACATTTGTGAATGAAATCATGGACGCTTCATTGTTCCAAAGCAGAGCAAAATATTACATGAACAATGTGTAGCTAAGAGCTTGATACATGAACCCCTGTGATCCAGCTACGGCAACTCCTCTGTTAAGCGTGCAGGGAAAAGGGAAGGCATCTTACAATGTGCAACGAATGAGATTTTCTGTCTTGTTCTTTCTCTTTCCCTACTCTAAATTTGTCATAGCATGTGCATGTGTTTGTTTTGCACATACACACTCTCAGTCTCAGGTTGCGAACCTGGAATAGTTAACTGTGGTTCACAATCATGCTCTTTCCTTCCTGTCAAAAGGAAATTTTAAGGGCCTGGGGAATGACGGTGCCAAGGAGAGAACCAGCTACGGCTATAATTGCAGCACTGAGCTGAAGGATTTTCCATTCTGCTTCAAACAGTTTCTATGTGAACCTCCAGCCAGCAACTCAAGTGGTAATTTCTGCTCCTTTGCTCTCTCAGCTACTTCCCCGTATTTCAGTGACACCTAGTGGTCCCTTGGGGTAACTCTCAGTGTGTACAGTACAGAATGCACTAAGGATCCTACTTGCGTAGATCCTTTCATCCCAAAGGGCTTTACAAACTACTTGTAGCGTGAAGCTGGTAGGGAATCTAAATACAGGCATCACTTACACTTTCCACTGGAAAAATTTCTTCTGACTTTTTAAAGACGCTCTTGCATCTTATAGTTCGCAGGAGACCTTTGAAAATTCAGCGCAGGGAGAGTCCTCAGGCTGGAGAAGTGCCTTTTCTTTGTTTCAAGAAATTTCACTTAGGCTCTGCTGAGCTGTGAACTTTGGAAATGGTGGTGGTTCCCTTCTTGCTTGTGAGCCTCAGGAAAGCTTGGTCACATGCTAAAATAATAACAGCGTGAGCCTTCTAAAGTGCTGGGCTCACCCTGTGTCTGGACATGCACTGCACTGGGAGCTGGCACAGCAGCTGTAGCTGGGATGGTGAGAGTTGGGCCAGGCTCCCCACAGCCCAGCACCTGACCATGTAGCTTTTGCCCCATAAGCTTCCCCCAGAGACAGGGCGAGAGCTGAGATGGGAACCTTCTGACAGCCTCCGAATCCAACAGCCCCTTCCCCCACATCACAGGCTTTTCCTACCACCAGCTAACGCAGTATGTCTGTGGCTGAAGGGATCGAGTCTGTGCTGACGGTTCAGGGTTCAGACCCTTGTGATGATTCATGCTGGGCATGTTGCTCCAGTTGCACATCATAGAATTATTGTTCTTTTATTTTTAAACTAGGAAATTCCATTCAAATAATGTTTAGGAGGCAAAATCAAGCACTTGGAAGTCAGGAAATGACAGATTTATGGTGCATGGATAATTCTGCCTCTTTGTGCATATGTATTAATAGACAAACTTTAATTACATGATCGTATACTATTGTTTTCTCAACAGGGCCTTGCCTCATTCAGTGCACAAGATGGACCCACAAGGGGGCAGAATTAAGGCTGCATGGACAACTAGAAATCTGGCATTTCCTAACTTTTGAGTGCTTGCCTTTGCAAGCTAAAGTTCTTTCAGTGTTATCTACATCAGTCATGGAGCCACAGGATCTGTGCTACGCCCCAGCTTTTCAATAGGCTCTTGGAAGGACCCCTTTGGCATGCCAGACCTGCAAAGGGCCCACTCTTCCTTAAGGGTAGGCTACGTGGTCTCCACACCTCCACAATTAAGTCTCTAGACTCCAGCAGTCCTGGTGCCCAGTGAGTCCAACTGAGATAGACTCCAGGTCAGGGACTTGTACGTTCTTCAGGGACTAATGCACCTCAGCAAGTATCTGCAGTGACAGCAGGCAGCCTTTTTAAACCAGAGCAGGGTTTACCAGTCATCAGGAATGCAGCACTGGGAAGTCCTTAGGTTAGCACAGAGAAGCAAAGGTTATGCCACAGTCCATGTAGCATTTAATTTCAGAAAGGGGAACTACACAAAAATGAGGAGGTTAGTGAAACAGAAATTAAAAGGTACAGCACCTGCAAGCTGCGTGAAAACTTTGTAAAGACACCATAATAGAGGCTCAACTTAAATGTATACCCCAGTTTAAACAACATAGTAAGAGAACCAAAAAAGAGCCACCGTGGTTAAAGAACAAAGTAAAAGAAGCAGTGAGGCAAAAAGGCGTCCTTTAAAAAGTGGAAGATAAATCCTAATGAGGAAAATAGAAAAGAGCATAAACGCTGGCAAATGAAGTATAAAAATATCATTAGAAAGACCAAAAAAGAATTTGAAGAACAGCTTGCCAAAGACTCCAAGAGTAATAGCAAAAAAAAATTTAAATACATCAGAAGCAGGAAGCCTGCTAAACAACCACTGGGGCCACTGGATGATCGAGATGCTAAAGGAGCACTCAAAGATGATAAGGCCATTGCAGAGAAACTAAATGAATTCTTTGCATCGGTCTTCACTGTTGAGGGTGTGAGGGAGATTCCCAAACCTGAGCCATTCTTTTTGGGTGATAGATCTGAGGAACTGTCCCAAATTGAGGTGTCATTAGAGGAGATTTTGGAACAAATTGATAAACTAAACAGTAATAAATCTCCAGGACCTGATGGTATTCACCCAAGAGTTCTGAAGGAACTCAAATG